TTCACCTCCTATTCTTTCGTCCTCGCATCGCATCTGTAAGAATTGTAATATGAATTTAGATCTCCAATTTCACTTACAATTGAACGGACAATCCTACCTATATAATCGGATAAGTGTGTCTTTGGTGTGTTTGTGTATTTGTGTGTATGTGTACGTGTCTGACCGAAAATTCATAACTTCTGTCCCCGTGGACATAGAGCGTTCAAGTTCGGTGGGAGTGTAGGCGGTAGGATGGGAACATCTACGGAAAGTGGCAGGACCGGACTCCGCTCACAATGGGCGGAGTTTGAGAAAAAATTCATGACTTCTGTTCCTGCGCACCTAGAACTTTCAAATTTAGTGGGATTCAGGCGGCAGGATGGAAACACTTATGGTAGGTGGCAGGACCGGACTCCGCCTACAGGGGGCGAGGCTTGAAGGGTAATGTCAAAATGGACCTAGAGCGACTTGGTAGAAATACAGGAGGCAGTATAGGTACACTAATGATAGGTTGCAATACTAAACTCCGCCCCAAAGGCGGGGTGTGAATAAATACTGTTCGTTCGAACCCAAACCGTTGAAATTTGAAGGCACAAGGAGTTGGCTGGGAACATTGATGGTAGCTAACATAGTAAACTCAGAGATGGAGTCTTAAAATACTTTTTTTCTCCGAACCATCGCCTTTTCTGATATCATACGATGTTCTGTTTGGACACAGCGAAATGGCTGAAAGAAAAATCGCTCCCAACTCAGAGCTAATACTGAAGGTGTGGAGCTTTCAAAGAAAAAGGAGAATCTGAAGTGTTATTTACGCACAGCAAATTTCTCATAGGAAGGAGGAGCGCCCGGCATAGCCGGGCGAACTTTAAGAAGGAGGGAAGCTCGGTGTCAGCCGGGCGGCTCGACTGGTGGAAAGCAAAAAGCGACAATGGGACCTACCCAACGGATGGTAAGGGTGATTAGAACAGCATGCATTCGTCCCCTTCTCGCCCTAGCGGGCGGTGTCGTCCGGGCTCGGTGTCAGCCGGGCGGCCCGACTGGTGGAAAGCAAAAAGCGACAATGGGACCTACCCAACGGATGGTAGGGGTGATTAGAACAGCGAGCATTCGTCCCCTTCTCGCCCAAGCGGGCGGTGTCGTCCACTTGAGTAGAACACTGTTCCCTCGGTGGTGATAGTTGGGGGCCGATGTGAACTGTTGACTGTGACGAGATGTATCACAAGTCCAGCGGATTCTTGAGCTTGTGCATCGCATGGTCTCGTACTACATTCATACGCCAGTTTTCCCTCTTGACTGTTCATGATGCCAGCCTTCATTCGCAACGCACGATCGTATTGTATCTCTTCTTTTGTGTAGTCTGGCCGCGTGTATGAATGTAGAGGTTGATGCGCACTTTTCATATGTCCTAGGAGGCGGTCTCCCAGCTCCTGATTATTCAGACTGCTGTGGATGATGCGTGATTTGTGGCTCACTGGTTCCTCGTTTTAGGGTGCCTGTGGAAGTCTATGCGGTTGCTGTTAGACTCGTCGAAAAGTTCACTGTCTCCTGACGTTTCCACAGCTTCCTTTACGGCCTCCTCGTCGAAAATACACGTCGCCTCCTCTGTGGCTCTCTCCGCGATGCCTATCCATGCAACCCTACAAGACTTTTCTTCGACAACTCTTGCGTCCGACCTGAATGTTACGAGTGCGCTATATAATGCTGAACTAGGGGTGGGATTTATTATGCCAGAGTCTACTTTCCAGAGCGTTGACTTATTGAGGATCACAGTATGCGATTCCTGGATTTTTAGAACAACGTCGAGCATTTTGTCGAAACGCTCCAACATTCTGTCGAGGCGCTCGAAGAAATCGTTCCACCTGGTCGGGATGGGTTTTCGTCCCTCAAACTTGACCGTGGTTGAGACCGGGGAAGAGATTTTCATTTTAACTGGCATTTTCTGGATGTAGATGGAAAGCAGGGAGTAGTAATCGATACCTACGGCGTGGAATTCGTATGTCGGATATCAGCAAGTGAGGGCCAACAGGCAAAACAAAGAAGAGGGGAATCCGATATATGGCAGCTTTAATAAGAGGTGGAGGGAGAAAAAGAACAGCAACGGTTGGGCAAGTGCAAATTTGATCAGCAATCGATTCAGGCAGATCAATAATCGGAACTGTCAAAAACGAGACTGTTCAGAAAAATGGAAATTGAAGAACACTAACCGAATCCGTGGCAGCGGTGATGGAAGGGTGGTGTCCGAAGTAAATTTAGGAACAGGACGTAGGGGCCCAAGACCGATGTATTAGCGATCGGATGGGACTGCAGCAGTAGCGGGAATGTACTTCAGCGGTGACGGGAATGGACTGCAGCAGTCCTCCAACATTAAAACAAGTATGGAAACCTTTGCTCAAAACGCTGCAAGCTGGTCCTCCAACAATTGCAAGAATGTTGGTTTGAAGTGGTAGCGAGTTCAGAAGTCTTACCCATCAGATTGTGCTGGAGAAGGGTAGGGAATAAAAGGAAGGGGAAACACGGTGGATGCGGCTACATGGTTCAGCCGCACTTCGCCAGTTGAGCCTTGGTCGAGCGAACATTCTTGAGGTGGTCGTCAAACTGTGTTTTTTTAGAAACTAGAAACTATTCTTTCTGTAAACAGTCGCGAAGAAGCTCTTAACACTCGACGCCGAGCATGCCTCATGAGTTGGAGTCCGGAACCTCTGTAGCGTGCTTGTTAGTTTTAACGACAGAACGTAGCCGGACTTTTTTTCCATTAAAGGCAAAAGCCTACGATAATTTTGGGTAATCCAGATTATGATGAAAAATGAAAGGCAAGGAAATAGTGCGATGAATGTGAAGAATCTACGTGATTCGGTGTTTCCAAAGCGAAAAAAGACTTTGAAAAACCCTAAAAAGGGGGCTGGGCGAGAATGAGATCAGAAAAATGAAAAAGAGTGGGGCGTTTGGACGAGCTACGCAATCTGTCACACTGCGTGCGTGTGGGTCCTGGTGCGAATAACAGACTATGGTAAGAGGAGATTCTGTAACTTATAAGCTTAAGTAAACAAAAAACCATAGTAACAGCAAAAGTAGCTCACATTTTCCAGCCTCCAGGAGTAGGAAATTAAGTTAGGTGCGGCAGCAAACAGAATAACAGAGGGAAAAGGAAGAAAAAAGAGAAATAAAGAGAAAAAGAAGAGAGAAAGAAATAGGAGAAAAAAAGAGAAAAAAAGAAGAAAAGAGAGAAGAAACACCGCCTCATCACTCGGCGACCAGCCGATTGTGTGTGGGTCCTAGAACGAATATTTGCAATCTGTATTGTCTCGACACTCGTCTGAAGTGATGACGTGACATTGATCGAGAGGCGGGAAAGCCATTGACGTTCCCGCCCATTGATTTATCGTGAACTGTGCCTTTAAGCACGCCTGTGAATGTCAGAGTAGAGATATCACTTACTGGGCGCTTGGACCATTTCTTACGGGATTTGAACGGCGCGGCGAATCGCATCTGAGAATGGACTACACATTGATCGAGTTTTTAAATATTGCCGTTTGACTACAGGCCATGTTCAGCTTGGTCTTGCTCAACCCACGACTGCGACTACCATCCGGGAGTGGCTCTATGCGGATCAGCTTTCAGTTCAATCCACACTAGAGATACGGGTTCCCTGAATAGCATTTGTCTGTATTGGTCATAATTTGGGAAGCATTTCTTTTTATCCATAAGAACGAGTAATTGGCTATAGGCAGGCACAAATGCTTCAAGAATGTCTACCTCATGTTCATCTTGTGTGTTAGGAATCAAAATAATTTTTCGCGTAAATTTTCGCCACCCTTCAGATATTCAATCAGAGATGAACACATGCTAAATTCGACCCGAATCGCCCTTGGTGTTCATTGAGCGCAACGCACTGAGCATCGAAGTCGCCGTGAGCGTTCTTATGCAAAAATTCATGACCATAGCGCGCAAAAGCTTGGAAGACTTTGAATCCCGCGAAAACGAAAAGAAATAGTGGACGCAGGCCATGTTAAGAACCTCCCTCATTTCCCGACCTGGACAGACTTTAGGCTGTCGCCATCGGCTTCGAATCGGGGGGCATCCATCAGGTCCCAACCACTATGAGTCAGTTCATAGGTAGTCTACAGCCAACGCACATAATGCCGTTCATCGGGGAGAGCTGAGAATATCTAGAACTTTCCGTTTGAAGCTCTCGAGGAGGCGGCGAAGTCCAACTTAAAGCCCGGATTACAATAATATTGGGGTATCCAGTNTTCCCCGACCTGGGTAGACTTTAGGCTGTCGCCATCGGCTTCGAATCGAGAGGTGCATCCATCAGGTTCCAACCACTATGAGTCAGTTCATAGGTAGTCTACAGCCAACACACATAATGCCGTTCATCGGGGAGAGCTGAGAATATCTAGAACTTTCCGTTTGAAGCTCTCGAGGAGGCGGCGAAGTCCAACTTAAAGCCCGGATTACAATAATATTGGGGTATCCAGTCCCAGTTGAATGATTGCAATAATCGCCAAGAGTACAAACGTGGCGAAGAAACACAAAAATCGACCTATTGAGAAAAATAAAAGCATTTGAATAAGGAGTAAAATTAGCAAATGGATGATAATAGGATAACAAAAGTTGCATGGAATTGGTGTTCGGACCAGCTCTTCAAATGTGCGCACCATTGCATACAGCAGGCCGTGAAAGGTGTGGCTTTCGGTGCGAATCCTGCAACCTCTACAGCTTTTACAACGTTTAAGAACTTGCCCTACCCGTTCGAAGGGTACGTCGGCTAAGCCGGTTCTGGGGCCCTCATTACACCCTATCTTTGCCGTTTTTCAAATGGGCAGCGTCCCTTGGGCTACCCTCGGAAGCCACACTTTTATAAAAGGGACGAAACCTTAGAAACCATTTTATCGTGAAGTGTGCCTAGAACCTTGTAAGGCTGCATATCTTCACGGTTGGAAATAATGAAGAAGTCATGATTTCAGAAATTCGAAACGTGTGATCCATTCCAGTGCGTTTTGGACGGCTGTTCTCTATTGATGATTGCTGTTATGATGGTTTCTTGTGCAAGCGGATTCTATATGTTGATAGCTGCCACGCGAAAAGCCACCATAGAAAATTTAGAAATTATAATGGAGTTCAATGATACGTCGGATGTAACAGTGACAAATTCAACAAGTACATCGGAGCTCGAAAAATACACGAAAGGCGCACTTGATGGAACAAAATTCATGACACAGCAGACAAGCCCGTCTGGCAAGGCATTAGAAACGTCAAGTAAAACGGCTTACCCTACGATATCTGAAGGTTCTGTGAGTGAGCAACATTCAACAAATGTTTCGACCGAAGATGGTGTATCGCCAGAACTTCTATCATTGCTAGAGAATTCAAGCAACGTGCTCACGATTGGATCGAGCAGATTTCCGAATGTACCGACCAAAACAAACGATACCACAGACGAAGGCTATCAGGCTGAAGGATAATACTGAAACACGAACGACACCGAGACCTCGTATTGCAAATATTGGTGAGTGAACCAGAAATAGCGTTAACACTGGTGGAAAAGATGACCAGACATTATTCACTAATTGAAGTTTACCAAGATGGATTTCAGGCACGATTTCACTTGTTTGACAGTTTTAAGAAATATGAAAAAGAATGTTAGTGCGAATTCATGTGAACTTAATAAATATCAAGCTTGTTATTTGATCTTCCCGAGTGAATGAAGTTGTTATGAGCTAGCAACAAAACATTTCTTATGATCCTTCCTTCAGTATCCCTGTACCGATCGTAATCTACAAGCTATTTCCACCGGAGCCACAAAAGTATATACAGCTTTAAGGCAACGGTCGCATCTACTGAATCCAAAAATCTTCAACCCTATGTTCGGGTGACAGATTCTACGAAGCGTCACAATTGCCTCACATCTAACGCACTGTGAAAAAAAAACTTAAAAAGAAAATTAGACGAGGTGAAACCACCCTTGATGGTCGGCGACGGTATGGCAGAGCTGGTAACTGTAAGCCTGGTTCAAACTGGATTCAGTGAAAGCAGCTCGAAACTTCCCAGGCACTGAAATGCAAGCTATCGGCTGAGCCGATGTGCAGGAAATTAACTGCTCTAGCAGACTCCACAAAGGCAAGCATGCGTAATACAGTTGTGAAAAGATAGAAAGTATAGATCTGAACAACACAGAAGGCAGAGGGAGCCCAACTTTTAAATCCACGTGTGCCTTTGGGTAAGTACCGATGACCTTTCCAGTGAGCTTTACTCACCCATCTGCCACCTGCGGTCGCGTCATATATGTAGCCTCGTCATGCCGCTGACCGCCCCACTCTTCCCCCAACACGCCCACACTCCCTCATGCCATTGTGGATGGCCGACTGTGATAGGCATTGCTTCACTTCTCTGAAGTAACACTTAACACTCAAAATAAAAGAAGTTATCAAAGAAATCTGCTCTCTGAAGTCTGCTCGGATGAGCATGGGTTTGTGAAGCTGACAGACCATCCTGGATAATCGAATGATCCCTAGTAATGGCTGTCTACCTGTACTCCATCCATCAATTGGATCCTTTCTTGCATTCTTTGTTGAAATTGCAATAACTACAAATTTATAAATCATGTTATATTTGCGATATATTTGAAAATTCTTCCCAAGAGGGTGTGGGTTATCAGGCGTCATTGTCGTTGCCCTAGACACAGGTCATTGCGTGCGACTCTGACTGGTCTAGAAGTGGGCGCCCATCGATAGTCTAGTATTTTGTCAGCCATCAATTAGGGGATAATATTTTCATGGTCGATCCTCTTTCATTATTCGCGTGCATTTTTTCATTCAATCGCTCATTCTTATCTACATAGAGAAAAACAAGGACGCATGGAACAACATTGTACGAGAATAAGGTAGAAGGAAGGATTTGTTGAGGAAAAAATATGATGACAAAAATAACCTTTAGTACGTCCAACACCCTTTTATGCTATTTATGCTTTTTATGCTCCCTCGCTTTCGACTTCCATTTAAAATAGTTCTGAATGCGCATATGGCTCGAGAACAGCTTGTGATCACTAGTCGATGTACAAGTTGCAGTTGCTTTTAACCTCCCAGGCAAGTGTGATGCCAATCCACCGACTTCGGAGAGATGCAAAGCATGGTTGGCCTGGATGGGTATCGATCCGGGTTTTTATGCGTGTGATAGTACCCTAGCCTTGGCGCTACACCATTTCAATTTAACTATGTAGTACGGGTATGTGGACGAACGTGCGTCCGAGGACGCGCGCGGCAAAGTTCGTAACGATTTGAACGACTTTAGCGCCTATCATTGAGGCCAAAATTTGAAGTAGATTATGAGGATCATCTGGCTCTACTAAACTACTCTACTTCGAGTTTGTGCCTCGAAAATTGGCGTCAGAGTCGTACAAATCGTCACAAACTTCGCCGCGCAATTTGCCGCGCGTGCCCTCGGACGCACGTTCGTACCGACCCCCGAGAAGGAGATCCGTGGAATCGGCCAAACTTACAAAATACCATGTTAACTTACAATCTATCGATCTGTATATTTGTCTGCACGTCTGTCTATCCAGGAATCTTCCTATGCTCATGATAAACGTAGCGATGTGAAAAATCCACCAGAAACTGAGTTAATAACAGTAGGGATAAGGCCTAAAGGGAAAGTGGTGTGATTCTACTGAGATCGCTCAGACAGCATACATTTGTATATCATAACGTGAGTGTCAACTTCTATGCGGCAATACCCACCAAGTGATAGCGATCAATGTCTGATGGTCTGATGAAACAACTGATCATTATTGAACTTTTTGCAATAGAGGAGCAGCTACATAAAACAGTAAAAGTTACATGTAATGGAGTGAGACACGAAATCATTATTACTGATATGTTACACTTCAGCACTATGATAGTAATCAAGACCAGAAATCAACGACCTCTACCGTTCATAAGCTGCTCAATCGGGGGTACAATTACCTGATCACATTTCTAATCGTACCTACATATATGATGACACTGGATCGTTTTGCTCTTCTGATCTCAGATCGTGTATGACAGCGGAACTTCAGTGTCTTTAGTTGACAGCATATTATGTTCATTTAGTAATGATGATGATTCTCGAACTCTTTAAATAGGGTTTTGGGGTTTTGAACTGAGCTCCGCCTACCTCGGGGCAACTTGATTTGATCGCATTTCTTTAATGACTCTAACCACTTTTTTCCGTCAAGTTAACACATGCCCAGAGCATATTAGACTTTGCTTATTCTATCGATACTGCAACCTCCAGGATTTCGTTAATAAAAAATGAAACGTTAAAGACTTTAAACGAAATTGTTTGGAAAGTACCGTTAACTATCATAACGCTGCGGCCACCGCGTGTGGGTCTGCTTCAATTCATTTGTTGACCCGATACTCACCTTTGCTCATTTTTTGCCGACGAATCGGCTACTATGAAAGCGAATTATGAAGTTTTGCTTCCTGCACCTCCCAGCGCTCTGGCCATGCTCCGCTTAGCTAATAGTGTTCTGAAAATCTTGAGCCATTCTAAACTTGTTCCACCCTTTCCAGGCGCTTTTCCCGGCAGCATCAAATCACACCACAGACAGAGAGCGGATGCGAGTAGTAGGAATGTATGTAGAGCCAGGCATGGGCGGAGATGGCGAACGGCAAGTGGCGCACTATGACACACAAGGACCGAATCCCGGATTGATAGGTCAAAATAGCCTTCCATCCCTTCAGAATCACACAATTGGTTCCATACGTTCGGGAGAATGAAAGTGCAAAGCACATCGACTGGATACCATATACCATTGTACCGATCAGATAGGCATACGCTTCTGTATTGAATTTGAATGCGGGCCGCAACCCAGGAGGCATTTTGTCTCCGCACACTAACGCGTGCGTCACAAAAAAAAGTACGCAACTAAGGGGTGTATGATTTTCCAATCTGGGCTCCAGCTCTCAAGGATCTTGTTAGACTGTGGTGTGTTATGAGTTCATGCAGAAAGTACCGCCCACTTTGAAGACGCTCCTCTCACCGCGGATGAGTACCCTTCGTCTAATTTTTTCACATTGTTTTTATGTACATATGCCCAGTTCTGAGCGCTATCTGGACCTTTACGAGGCCAAAATGATTAGCATTGCATTCAGCACCCGCCCCTCACCACCTGCACTCCTCTAAGGGGGCAAGGTTCCGCTGAGCTAATATGTGCACCGTTGATCTTGTACTAGGACTCACTCATCCCGAACTTGAGTTGACCTCTTCAGCTTCCTATTCAGGTAATACCCAATTTCGTGACCGAAAACAGACAAACAAACAAACAGACACACCAAATCTGTGGTTAACATAGCCGTAATACGTACTAGTGATCACTCATCTGTACTACATGGGGACGTGCATTACGTACGTCCGATGATGCGCGCGGCGAAGTTCCTGACCATTTGTACGACTCTGACGCCAACTTTCGGGGCACAAACTCGAAGTAGAGTTGTT